ACTTGGCCGGGGATTAAGCTCAGTGGTTCCGGTGCCTGCCTTGAAAGTGCAAGGTCCCGAGTTCAATCCCTGGTACCAAAAAAAAAAAAAGAATGTACTTTACACAAAATAACCAGTTCATATGGAAATAAATCTACAGACCTCCAAGGCTCAAAAAGCTTTTTAAAAAGTTCTTTTAACAAATTATCCAATACATAATATAGAACTATTCAGGTAAGTGTTGCTCTCAGTGAAAAAGGGAATCAGTAGACCATGACAAAATACACATAATATAAAAATAAATAGCATTGCCCTTTCCAGTGCTGGACAGGAAGGTTCATAGGGCTCTGGCTCACAGCAGGAGAGGACTGCCCAATGCTGAGTCCTGCAGCAATGCAGGCGAGTGAGGTACCCGGCCCCTCTGGGGGTATAGTGCTATCTTTTGAGACAAAAAATATGTAGTCCAGGCTGGCCTCCAACTAGTGGTGACCCTCCTGCCCCTGCCTCCTGAGTGGGTACTGGGATCACAGGTGTGTACACCATGCCCAGCTATATCAGTAAATTAAAGCCACATATCAGTGGTTTTTTTTTTTTTTATCAGACCAAAGGATTCTTCCACGTCAGTTTTAGAAGAGTAAGGTGCCATGTGGTGCTTCTCAGATGGCACAGTGAACCCGTCCTCTCTCTTGGTGCCCACTTCTATCTGGGTTCACCTTTGGCATGAGGCTCTGGTTGGTGAGATGCCAGCCAGGGCCCACGTCCACAAATGCTCCTGAGGCAAGGTGGTGAAAACAGAATGTCCTCTAATTTTATGTCACTACCTCTGTGTGCATCCCACAACGTTCCCTATATACACCATCGAGGCTGGGGAAACGTAGTCAGCCTTCTGTGTTCACGGTTATACATCTGAGGATTCAACCTACCATGCAGCAAACATATTTGAAAAAAACTGTATCTGTACCACACACTTTTTTGCTTGTCATTTTCACAACTACTTGCACAGCTTACATTGTATTAGGTATTTTTTGCTTTGTTTTCTGGACAGGGTCTTGCTATGTAGTTCAGGTCGGCCTCAAACTCATGGTGATTCTCCTGCCTCAGCCTCCCAAGTGCTGAGATTACAGTGCAGGTATGTGCCACCATGCTTGACCCAAAATCAGAAACTCTTTTTTTTTTTTTTTGGTACCGGGGACTGAACTCAGGACCTTGTGCTTGCGAAGCAGGCAGCAGCACTACTGAGCTAAATCCCCAGCCCCCAAAATCAGAAACTCTTAACTGTTGTTCACCTGGGGAATGGACCCGGGGTGAAGTGACTCATTTTTCATGAAGTCTATTCAGTATCAGCTGAATTTTTGAAAACACATACATGTTACTTTTATAATAACGTTTCTAAAGTTTTTTTTTTTTTTTTTTTGGTACCGGGGATCGAACTCCCGCTTGCGAGGCAGGAGGCAGAACCACTGAGCTAAATCCCCGGCCCTAAAGTATTTTTTAAGTTAAATCTTTTTTTAAAAAATTAGGGAGCACGGGAGTTCCGGCAGAGTGCAGTGAGAAACAGAGCGCGGCCTGCTTCCCCAGTGTCCTCCAGGTCCTCCCGCCGATGGCGGTGGGTGACCCGGGGGCCGGGGGCCCGAGGATGGGCCGTGCCTCTGCCCTGCAGCCTCTTCGATCCCTCGCTGTGATTGCCCACTGGCTGGGCCCAGGCTTTGAAGAACAGGCGAACTGCTCCCCCACTCCACTTCGATGACCTGACGGCCACGGCGGTGGCCTCGGAGCCAGAACCCCTCAGACGGAAGGGTCTCCCGGTCCAGCCTTGCTGGCCTTGGCAAAGCCCCCTCCAGCAGTCGAGGACGTGGCGCCTTGCAGCGGCTGGAGCGAGGCGTGGTGAGAAGAATGGCGGCCTCTGGACCGCAGCAGAATGTGGTTACATCAAGGGCCGGAGAAGGCGGGTCCGAAAGCTCAGCCACTTCTGGCCCTAGAACTGCGCAGATCCGGGTCCTGAGGTGACGGCTGTGTTCCATTTGTGGAGGAGACCGCAGCTCCTTGCGACGAGGACGAATAAAGGCCTTACCCGCCCTAGAAGGTGAGGGAGCTCAGGCCGAGGACAGGTGGAAAGAATGGCGGGCCATGGGCAGTTGCCAAAGAGAGAAACTTAAAGTAACATTCCACCTTTGGCTAATTGGAAATGCCCACTACCTTTTGGGAAGATTTACTGGCCATTTTCAGAAGGCCTGTGTATATAATATGAAAAAGCTGCTCTCAACATTCCCCCAACCTTTTAAAAGAAAACTTGCTGCATGTGGACAATATAGAAGTAAAGAAGGTGCCGACCTGGGATAAAGAAGTTAGAAAACCCACACGTCTTGGAAACGCCCATTTATTTTAAAAAAATGACAGAAAAGAAACGTTTTCTGAGAGTGACTTTGAAATGAATATGGGTAGACCACCTGGAGAAGCGACACTAGGGGTGATTCTTGTCTGCATTTGTTCTGTTAGAGGACTTGGAGAAGACAGAAGAATGTCCAGTACCAGACTGGTTACATGTAGAAGACGTTGTTTGTATTGTAACCATTGTTTTGTGTGTGCATTTTAGTCCTCATTAGTATGTATATAACTGACAATGCTAAGTACTTTATTGAACCATCTGGTCTTTTGAGATAATTCTCAAGTGCCTGATACATGTTAAAAAGTAGTAGTAGTAAAATAACACATTTTGTAAATTTCTTTTTGTTAGAACTCACATGAAGTGTTATTTTGTGGGGGAGTAGGCAAACCCCCTCTTGAGTAGTACACATTGTTTATGCACTGGTTCTCGGAAGAGAAGGAAATAGAGCGCTGTGCTAGTGCACTTATAGCAAGGCAAGTTACTATTGCCCCTTATGTCTGTGCATTTTTACTTTGCTGTGTATGTAGGGTATGTAAAAGATAAATGAGACCTTATACAACATCTAGTCTTGCTAGATGTTAAAGAGGTTGCCAGTTTTGACAAAGGTGGAGTTAGTAAACTAACAAATTTTGTACATTTTGTATTAAAATTCCAGGAAAGTTTGTCTTCTGAAAATTTGAGCATTTTGGAAGGGTTCTAGACTAAAATGCTCATATTTCCAAGACACTTTCAACTATTGTTACATATATGCAGTTTAATCGACTGCTGTGTATATATAATGGACAAATTGAGTCCCTACTTGAATCATCTAGTCTTTTCTAGATGTTTAGAAGTGCCCAAAGTATGTTAAATGTAGAGGTAGTAAAATATCACTTTGTAAATATCTTGCTAAAGTTCATAAGAAATGTTGATGGAAATGGAATGGTTAAACCACCTCTTGAGCAGTATGGTACTGTCTGTACTTGTTCAGTGGTTTGGAGGAGGTAGGAGGGAAGCAATTGCAAAGGTATTATGTTAGTGCACTTGTACTTGGACATTTTGAGACATAATTTTTCTGTATGTTTTGTGGGTTTTGTTTTGCTGTGCATATAGTGTATATAACAGACAAGTCCAAATTTTGCAACATCTAGTCCCTAAATGTTACAGAAGTTGCCAGTGTATGACAAAGTAGTAAAGTTAGCACATTTTTGTACACCTGTGTTGAAATACACAGAAAAAAAAAAATTAGGGAACACGGCATGATGGCACACACCTGTAATCCTGGCACTCGGGAGGCTTACGCAGGAGGACTGCTGTGAGTTAAGGCCAGCCTGAACTACATAGCGAGACCCTGTCTCTCAAAACAAAATTGGATATTGGAATCCTTACAGACTAAATGGGAGATGCCCAGCTCTGCCGTTGGAAGAGCAGTCCTCCTCCCACTCAGCAACACCAGAGGGCATGGATGTCAGGAGAGGTCTTCCGAGCTGGAACCTAAACCTTCACAGAAGTTATCTCTGCAAAGGGCTGGCTGGGAATAATTATTTTATTATTTAGTCAAAGAAATGATTGAAGGGCTGGGGATTTAGCTCAGTGGTTCCACTGCCTGCCTCACAAGCGCAAGGTCCTGAGTTCGATCCTCAGTACCACCCCCAAAAGCTCAAATAAATGACTGAATATTTGTAAACCACTTAATTAAGGCAGTACCTAGCAGATGGTTAACTGCTATAAAAGTAACTCACATGAAATAAATCTGTTTCCTAATTTTCCTACAATAGACATATTACTGGGCTGGGGATTTAGCTCAGTGGTGCCACTGCCTACCTCTTAAGTACAAGGTCCTGAGTTCGATCCCCAGTACCAAAAAAATAAAAAACAATGAAAAAATATTACTTAGATACGGAATGATAAAAAGTAATTTGTAAAAGCCTTCTGGCTCCATTAGAGAAAGAGGCTTTTTATTTTTTTTGGAACATCAACAGGCTTGATGGCTAAAGATTCAGAAAACTGAGCCCATGAAAGGAGCCAGATCTGTCTCCAAGTGCCCGGGCTTTCGTGGCTTCCAGAGGGGGAACTCACAGGCTGCTCTTTTCTGAACACTCGCTTTTCAAACTGAGCTCGCACAGAGAGGCTGTGACCTGATTTCTAAGTCAAATCTTTATTCGCAAGTTCCTTCCTGATAATGCAGCCACAGGAGAGTGGCAGGCAGGTGTCCCGCCCTCAGTTTCCAGAAGCTTCTCCAGCCAGGAAGCAGCAACCGAGAGGCCGGCCTGCTCCTCTTTGGCCTCTTCAGTGTCACGAAGGAGACCGTGCACAGGGCTGTCCTCAGGACTGCAGGGCTCCTCAGCAATGTTCAGAGTTCCCAGAGTGGCAGGGTGGACAGAAAAGTCGCCCTGGAGACCCAGCACAAGGGGCTGTGACCCCACTCCCAGCTCCCTGGGCCAGCACAGCCAGGGGCTCCATGCCCTCTGAGCTGCCAGGCTGGGAGGTGCCCCACTCACAGAAAGGGCTGTCATCGGCCCTCAAAGTGGGCTGTGATCTGTTCCAGAGTCTTTCCTTTGGTTTCGGGGATGCAGAACAAGGTGAAGAGGACACTGCAGATGCAGAAGGCAGAGGCGAGCCAGAAGGCACCATAGGGCCTCAGGGCCTCCTGCAGAGGGGACAAACCAAGTAGGCACGTGGCCACAGGACAGGGGGTCCCCACGCCACTCGAGCAGCACCCCGACCCCAGCCTGCCCTGCCAGTGCCATGCCTATTCCGTCTCCACCCAGCTTGGCAGAGCACAGCCTGGCACCTGCTCCGGCTGCCTGGCCAAGCACTAGCCATGCTGTAGGGCTGGGGAGACAGGCTCGTCGATGAAGCGACCGCCCTAAGGTCAGACACACCATCAAGTGACACCTGGGCACCTGCTCCTGGGAACCCCTGGGCCCGAGGATCCCCGTCCTCCTGCGACGCCACTCCAGAGAGTTCTCTCCTCTCGGTACCATGGGGAGGGTGAGTAGCTGGGTGCTCATACGGGCAGAGGGTGCTGCTCAGGGGCACCTGGGGACATTCAGGGCCCAGTGGCACGGAGGGGGCCATGAGCAGTCCCTTCAGTCAGAGCCTGTTACCCTCCAGGGGCCAGCTCCTCCTCCTCTTCTTGAGGCCTCCTGGACTGGGCATGTCCCTGGGTCATATTAGGTCCTTTGTCACCTCCTTCTTCGCTTCTTTCCCTCCTTCCTTTGCTGCCCAACCCTCCCAGCCCGAGCGGGTCCCAGGCTCCTGACTCCGGGCCTTTCAACGACTTGCTGTCCACCATAGCCCACCACCTTCCTGGCCCTTGCTGTAAAAGGGATGCTGTCCACCTCAGTCACTGCTGGCCTGGACACGCTGCGTGCCAACAGCCTTGGTGGGAAGGAATCCTGAACAGACTTGCACATCTGCTCCAGGAACGCCCTGTTGGCCAGGAAGTGGCGGGGAAGGGCCAAATCTGTGTCATCTACCACAGGAAACAGCAAAATGACCAACTGAATCCATGTTCCCATCAACCTTAAGGTGCGCCTCCCGACTTCTGCTCCCAGCCAAGGAGGCTGGCTCAGAGAGGTTCAGTCACACACAGAGCAAGGAGGTGGATGGGGTGGGGCTGGGGCCTACACAGACTGAGGCTCCTGGCCTGTGCTCCTGACACCCACTGATGGGGGAACCCAGCCCTGTGGTGCTCCCGACAAGACAGACTGAAGATGCCTGAGGGGTCACAACCCATTTATCCCCAATTCACCCCGTCAGACACTGGCATCCCAGGCCTGTGGGGCCTCAGCCTGCACGGGAGGCCATGGACTCTGAGTCTTTTGCAACAAAAGCTTCTTTGCTGACTGCCTGAGGGGAGGCCACAGGCTGCACTCACCATGAGGCTGGTGAACTCTTTTGTCACCAGAAAGGCCATGAGCCAGTTGGTGAGGACGCAGACACCGGTAGCCACGCCCTTGATGTGCAGAGGGAAGATCTCAGACATGAGCAGCCAGGGGATGGGGCCCCAGCCCAGCGCGAAGCCTGCAGAGCAAGATGACATCAGGCAGGGGCTGTGGATGCTGGGCTCCCAGGCAAGCTACAGAGCCCAGGGGACCCAGCTACCCCACCAGTGGGCCCTGGGGTCCTGGATTCCTGGTCCCACCAGCTCTGTGCTTTCCTGCTAGGAGGCACTGGGCAGTCACCAGGCCTTATCTCTGGGACAAGAATAAGGTTGGATGAAAGGGACACACAAGGGCTTGGTGCAGTGCCTGGCATGTGGTCAGAACTATAAACCAAGAGGCCGCAATCTGCGGAAGAGAGGGGTGAGGCCGGGTGGGATCCTGCAGTGCAGGGCACGGGGACTGACAGGGACAGTGGCCCTCACCCAGCCTCCTGGGGGTCCCTTCTCACCGGCAATGAACAGGCACATGCTACCCACAGCCAGCCAGGCCAGCCCCAGGCTGGCGTCCTGGGGCTCCATGGAGATGGGCGTCAAGAGGTCCACGTGGGAGGAGTTGCTGGAGCCGCTCTGGGTCAGCTTGAAGTAGGTGCCGAAAGCACTGGTGCTGAATACCATGACCACACCTGTGGGTAGGGTGACGGTATGCAGGGCACAGGGCATGTGGCCCAGGGGCAGCGGGCCCCAGCAGTGAGGCCTGGTACCTCTGAGAGGCAGGCCTGGCTCCCCAAGCACAGCTGGCCGGGCATCCTGGACTTCACAGCTTCCTGCCACCCACACCAGGCTGCAGGCCTCAGCCACCGGGGAAGCTTCTGAGCAGCCTCTCTTCCTACCCCAGCCCACCCCACAGTGACCAGGTCGAGGCTTGCATGACCCTCAGGCAGATCATCTCCAGAACCACACCTCAGTCCCAAGAGAGCTGCCGAGGGGGAAACTGAGGCTCACAGAGAGAAGTCACTTGCTGAAAAGGAACACAAGCTTCTGAGGCTCTCAGCTCTCAGTTTCCTGCTGGGAGCTGAAGCCCTGACAGCCCTTCTTGTAGCTCAACAAAAAAGCATGGGAGATGCTATTAGGCCCCAGCCTCGTTGGCCTCTGCCATGGGGCACCCTGTGCATGGAGCTGAGCCCTTGAGTCTCACCTGACAAGGCCAGGAGCGGCCTCCGCCCCACTCTGTCCATGATGAGGGCTGCTATGCCTGTGAACAGCACCTGGATGGTGCCCATGATGACTGAAGCCAGGCTGCTGTCCTGGGGGACACCGGGTGAGGCTGCTCAGTGGGCCATCTGGAGACGCTTCCCGAATTTTCTGCTCCTGTGCTGGGTGATAAGGCCCTGGGCTCCAGGAGGTGGCACTGGATGAGGCAGACTGGCCAGAGGCCTCTTACCTTGAACTTGGCCTCCTCAAAGATGGTTTCTGCATAGAACATGATGGCGTTGACCCCGGATAGCTGCTGGAAGGCCATCAGGGAAACGCCGATGACGAAGGGCTTGTAGATGCCTGGGTGCCTCAGCAAGGCCAGCTGGAAGCCCTGCTCCAAGGGAGATGGGGGTCAGGGTCTCCCCACCCTGTCCCAGAGCCCCTTTCTGGGCTTCTGTCCCCACCCACCTGTCCTCAGGTGTGTGGACAGTCTTCCCCTCCTCACAGAGAGGTTCCAACACTCGGGCAAAGAACCCTGTTTTCCGAGTCCCAGTCACCTGCAACGCACTCAGTGCTCACCTTGGCCCAGGCCCTGGCCATGTGCCTCCCCTGGGCCTCTGCATCGAATCTCAGCACTGCCACAGGCATGAGCCAGACCCCCGTCTACAGAAGAACCTAAGGCTCCACAGAGCCAGGGAGTGCAGAGTCTGACTCCACATCCAGATTCTCTCTCTTTTTTGTTTGTTTTTTTGAGATAAGGTCTTGTTATGTACCCCAGGCTGGCCTCAAACTCACGGTGATGATCCTCCTGCCTCAGCCTCCTGAGTGCTGGGATTATAGGCATGTGCCACCGCGCCTGGCTCCACAATCCAGACTCTTAACCTCCCTGTCCTACAGTTCCCTGGTTACGGCCCAGCTCTCCACACTGCATCTGTAGGGTGGGCCTTTCTCTTCCCGGGATGGTAGGAATCAAGTCCAGGCTTGCCTGGTGAGCTCTGAAGGTAGGGCCCAGCTAGGTGGGGCTCCAGCCAGCCCCTTCCTGCTCAGACAGGATAGCACGGTCTCCACTGAGGGTGCCCCTCCCCTCCCGAGTGTGGCTTTGAGACCCTCCCAGGCCTCATCTCTCCTGGCTCCCCAGCTCTGGCTCCCAGTCTCTCACCTGGTGCTCATCCCTGACGGGGGGCTCTTCCCAGCCCTCATCAGAGCCCCACAGGAAGCGCACGGTGGCCCTGGCCTCCTGGTGCTTGTGCTGAGTTAGGAGGAAGCGCGGTGTTTCGGGCATGCAGCACATGAGCAGTAGCATGAGGGTCGGGGGCCCGCACCCCAGCACAGCCAGCCAGCGCCACTCCAGGACCCAGCCTGCGGGGACAGAGTGAGGGCTGGGAGAGCCAACCTGGCCCCCTCACCACCCCAGGGCCTCGGCTTCAGAGGTGGGGCCCTCACTACCTCTGCCGCTCATTCCTGAGGTTGTCATCACCATTACTGTGCATCGCACAGACACTGTGGGCAATGGTGGTGGGACATCAGCACAATCACCACGCATTCAGTGACACACGGTCCTGCACTGCACTGTGATGTTTCGGGCTCCGAAACAGTGGTCTCACAAGATCATAATGGAGCAGATGAAAAATTCCTATTGCCTTGTGATGTGTCGTAGCCATGGCAACATCAAACTGAAATGCATTACACGTCTGTGGTGGTGCTGGTGTAAACAAACTACTGCCAGTTGTGTAACAGCTCAACATGTGTAATTATGTACAGTACGTAAGGCTTCATCATAAGAAATAACTTCTATTGGTTTATGTACTTGCTATATATATTTTAAAATCATATTTTAGAGTATACTCCTTATAAAAACATTTACTAGCCAGATATGGTGGTGCACACCTATAATCCCAACTATTTGGGAGGCTGAGGCAGGAGGATTTCAAGTTTTAGCCCCGCCTGGGCAATTTACTGAGATATTTTTATCTTTATTATTTATTTATTTATTTATTTTGGTACCGGGGATGGAACTCGGGTCCTTGCACTTGAGCAGCAGGCGGCAGAACCACTGAGCTAAATCCCCGGCCCCTACTGAGATATTTTTAAAAGGGCTGGGGATACAGCTCAGTGGTAGCGGCTTGTGTAGCATGAGGGTTCAGTCCTAGTACTGCAAAATAAATAATGTGTCCCTGCTATGCAACACATGACTTTAAGCAGCCACGAGACAACGGACGAGGAGCGGGTCTGCATCACCATGGTATTGGCATAGAGCGACCCAGCAGGACTGCGTGAAGAGGAGGGGGTGGGAGAGTAGGTGTGTGCATTTCTCACGCATGCGCAGCCTCTGGAGGCCACCAAGACACAGGCCATGCTGGCTCTTCCGGGGAGGACCAGGGCAGAGTGGAGGGACTTTGCTGGACACGCTCTCCCCCCGTGCCTGTTTCAATGGGTTATTAAAGTATGAATGAAATGAGAGACGTGGTGGGGTTCTGGTATCTTGAAGATACAAGAACAGCATAAATACAGAATTAGCCAAAGGGATCCCTGACAAAGGGGCCCAAGAACAAATGAACTCAGGGTACTGCCTCTCTAGTTTTTAATTTTTCCTAACCCTAAGGCTTACCTAGCCTCACTTCCTTGGAAAATAGCTCAGTGATAGCCATGAGGTGTCTGTTTGTCTTCTGTGTTGGGGGACAAGGTGGGCTGTGGGATTATGTGGACAGAGTTGTTTTATATTCTTAATTAATTTTTTTACTTGTTTTATGACAGGCAAGTCATAGCTGTTCCACACAGTCCAGTTATTGAGGGATTACTGCTCCCATCGGAAGCAAACGTGTCCCCACATTACTCTGAGGGTGACAGGGTTAACGTACACCAATGGAACAAAACCCAGAAATCGATCAGTGAAAAGCAGCAGCAGCAAGTGCAAATGAAGGTGACCTGCAGGTAGTGCTGTAGGTGAGTGGACACCCAAGTTTCTGTCCCTCAAACCATGGATGCCAACACCTGCCCCAGTGGGGGTTCAGACTCACGGCAGGGCTTCCAAGACAGCAGGACTTTGAACTGGGACGGTAATTTGGTAATGACAAAAGAGCAGAGAGCTCCATGTCCCCCAGAGGGCACATACCCCAGGCTGGGCCCCAGCCCATCAGGCCCTGAATGCCTCGTGCCCCCTTTGACTCTCAAGCCATCCCTTGACAATTCTCATGTGGGGCCTGCTACCACGTACTTTTCCTGTGTCACTTGATCTACTTCCCCAACATATCTCTAGTTGAAGACAAGGAAACTGAGGCTCCCAGGGGCGGCGAGACTTGGCCAAGGTCACACAGCAGGTGGCAAAGGCCATCTCCAAACTTGGGACTGTCAGGTGTAAAGCCTGCCCTCTTTCCACTCCATTTCTAGTAAGATCACGTCAATTCCTGAAGCTTCGCCAGGCTGCTTCAGCTCTGCCCCGGGGGGCCCCCTGGGAACTGGCTTCTTTCACCTGGTACTTTGCTCCCCACGAATCCAGCAATGATATTCCCTTTGAGCTCCTGGCTGAAGACTTCTGCAGTGCCCCTGGCAAGGTACTGACCTGACCAGTCAGCTCCCTCCACATCATGGGAGTGGGGTTCTGGGATGCCCTCCTCCAGCTCTCTCTGGGACTCAGTCAGAAGGCCCGCACACCCTAAGGTCCCTGGGGGTGGTCTGGGGGTTGGTACCTTGGCCATCGGCTGTGTGATCTCAGGCAAGCCAATGACCTCTGTGAACCTCAGTTTCTACACTATGAAATGGCCACATAGCCATTAATAGGCCCCAGAAGAGACCATACAAACCCTACCTGCCAGGTAGGCCAAGAGGATGCCTATGACGACCATCAGCTGCACACAGGAGCCGAGCAGTCCCCGGACTGCTGGGTAGGCAATTTCAGAGATGTAGACCTGTCAGCAATTAAGACGGGACTTTAGTGGGGTCCATGTGTTCTTAAAACCTGAAAGCCCTCACTTGGCCTTTCTGAGCTGAGGAGTCTGCACTGCCCCCACTGAGCAGAGCCCTTCCCAGGTTCCATGACCAGGAGATCTGGGGCAGGGGTTTAAAGGGACTAAGGGTAATGGGTGGCTGCTGTGTGTATGTGAAGGAGTGGAAGTGCAGAGCTTCCAACACTCACTTCATGTGCATGGGTACCATGATAACGCAAGCACCAAGGCAATGTCTGGGGTAGGGCCCAAGCTCCTGCCCGATAACCAACTCTTGCAGCTGCCCAGGCTGCTGTAAGGCAAGGTGCCCTTGCTTCGAAACACAGAAACTCCCCACCTCAGCCACTATGGGGACCACCAGGGCATCACTCACATGTCTAGGTCATTCCATACCTTATGCCCATGGCTAAGATGTGTGTGTTTCCCTGGCTTAAGAAGAAAAAAATCAAAAACAAAACCCATAGCCCTTTCGTCCTAGCAGATGTGGGTGAAAAGAGAGATGGGGTGCCCGGGAAAGGGCCTGAGAGGCTTTTAACCCTCAGCAGGGTGATGGTTGGGTGGACAGTGGGCCACGCCTGTGGCCAGCAGCAGTTCGCTGGTCACCAAGCAATCCCAGCTGCCAGGGTCCAAATCCTTCCCCAGATCCTGCAAGGGCCCGGGACTGCGTGTGCAGTCTCACCGAGCCTGGAAGCCGGCGGATGAGCAACGCCTTAGTACCCACTTACGGGGAGCAAGCCCAGGGAGCTCTGCCCAAGGAAATGACCAGGTGTGTGGGCGAGGGGCTGGCAGTGAGCAGTGAAGGGGAACCCAGAAGCCCCACCCCAGGGTCAAACCAGAACAGGAGTTTCCTGCCAACCGTCCAGTAATCAGTGACCTGGTAGGGGAGATCTAAACCTGAATTCGAGGTTCTGTGCCACCCTATTTGTAGAGGGTTCAGAGAGGGTTCAGGCGGAGAGTCCTGCTCACTAGCTGTGGCCGCTGCCTGGGCAAACGTCTTTAGCTTTCCGAGGTTGTTTCAGCCGGAATTCGGAGCTAAAAACGGTGGGTCCTTCCCAGGGCGTGGTGAAGCTAGCAGGAAGTCTGCTGGCCCTCGGGAGCCCCCAGGCCGCGAGACACTCACCGGGGCCACTAGCGAGGCGACGCCGCAGGCCAGGCCGGTGAGGAGGCGGCCCCCGAGCAGCATCCACACGTCCTGGGCCGCAGTGATGAGGGCAAAGCCCGCCACGAAGGGCGCGGTGCAGAGCAGGAGGGTGAGCTTGCGCCCGGCGTGGTCCACGAGCCAGCCGCCCAGCACGCCCCCCGCGGCGGCACTCAGGGTCACGACGGCCTGGGCGGGGGCGACCGCGGACTCAGGTGCGGCTCTGAGGGCTGGGGTCCCGGGCGGTGGGGAGGGCGGGGAGGCTGGGGGGGGGGGGGGGGGGGGGCGGGAGCCGCGGCTCACCCCGAACCAGGAGGCGGCGCTGTCGTCCAGGCGCGGGGCCGGGGGCGCCGAGCGCTGCAGGCTGGGGATGGCCGGGGAGCTGTAGCCGAGCGCGAAGCCGAAGCTGAGGGGGCCCAGCGCGGCAGCGAAGGCGGCGAGGAAGACTCGGCGGCCGCGGGGAGCGCTGCGGGGACAGGGCCGACGGTGAGCGGCGCCGCCGGGGTGGAGCGGGAGGGCTAGGCCGCGTCCCGGGTTGCTCACCTGCCGCCCGGCCTCAGGAGCAGCGGGGTCTCTTCCCGGTTCTCAGGCGTCATGTCGACGGCCTACGCTCACCCCGCTGGCGCCGACTCGGCCGCCCGAGTCGCAGCTGCTCGCGCGACCGCGGCCTCCGGGGCCTCTTCAGAAAAGCCAGCCAATGGGCGATGGGGGCCGGTGCTGGGGCGGGATCGCAACCGCCCCGAATGTACGAGCAGCCAATGGGAACGCAAAGGAGGCTAGCCTGCCCGCTAGGACCCGCCCCATTAAAATCAGAGTAGACCAATGGAAGCACAACGCCGGTTGCACTCTTGGAACCGCCCCTAGGACAGAAGCTGTCCACGGCCCAGGCGGGACGGAGTTTGTGTGCAGCCTGGTCGTCCAATGGGAGTGCGGTGCGAGTCCGGAGGCGAGGCCAGGCTGTCCGGGAAGTGAGCTGGCCAAGGAGCGTGGAGGGCGGGATTACTTTTTTCCCTGAAGCCCTGCCTGTTAATCTAGCTCCAGCCAATGAATGAGGACAGGAGCGGAACGAAGGCGGAGCACTTGGACCCCGCCCAGACCCGCAGGCCCGGATCGCACCCGCGGTTTCTGCTGGGTGGATGAACTCTGGCCCGGGTCTGGGTTTGGAGGCGCTTTACCTCTCCGCCTGACCCAGCTCTACCCCCTGAGAGCTGCAGGGCGGAAGATCTCCGAGCAGATTGTCCTTGACCTCTTCTCAGACCCCGAGACAGGCTCCAGGCTTCCGCTGGAGCGCTTGGGCGAGGCGCAGCCCTAACCCTGCCCGCCGCTCCCACCTCTGTTCTCCTAGCCTGCTAAGGGCTGCCAGGCGGGGACCACTGGAGCCTCCTGTACTGAGGACCAGCGATACGCGGGACGCCCATTCCGCTGTACCCTCATGTCTAACAAGGGGCTGATCATTATCTTCAGGAGAGTGGTGAGTATAAAAGAACAAACACCACGTACTCACATGCGGATAGTCACTTGACTCACTGCAGTCACCTGACTGTACTCGCAGCCAGCATTTTAAATCTTGACCACAAGATTATCTTTAGAGACTTAGGCAACTGTTCTTCTTATACAGCCACTCGTGCTTGTTGTAAATTCTTGCTGCAGCACGTATCACAGATTTGTAATAGCTCCTTCGTGCTAGGCCCTTTGCATTGCCCCGTGGGTCAAGGCCCCCGTGCAAACTGGGACCTGGACCCGTCACTGAAGCAGCCAGTCGGGCACAGTGCCACCTTCTGAGCTGGCTAGTGCCACCTTCCGAGCCATGGAACCCTGCAAACCTGTTTCTGCCCCCTGTCTAGTGTTCTGCCTCCCCAGGAATGTGCCCATATTGTTGCCAAAACAGCCTCCGAGCCCCCTTTTATAAGAGAAGCACCATCAGCCTGATGAGTAGGGTCCACCTATTCCTAAGATCTGTGACTCTTGCCCAAACATAGGCAACTTTAATGCTGCCCATTTGGAAGAATGCTCCAAATGGCCTGTAGTTTTTTTTCTTTCAGCAAGAAATCTTTTTTTTTTTTTTTTTTAAAGATGGAAGCAAAAATACAGATGTAAGCTGGTTGTAGTGGCACATGCCTATAGTCCTAGAGCTCTGGGAAGTTGAGGCAGGAGGATCATAAGTTCCAGCCCAGCTTGGGCAAGAGAGAGAGAGAGAGGGAGACACAGACAGACAGACAGACAGACAGGGGCAGGCTGTGGATATAGTTGAATGTGAAGGCCCTAGGTTCAACCCCCCAGTACTGGAAAAAAAAGGAACAATAAACCTAATCAACAAAACTGTTGGTGGGACTGAGGTGTAGCATGTAGTTGATTTTGTATCCCCCATATGTGCAAAGGGCATAACAAGACACGAGAAAGGAGATGCTAAATACTGCAAAGAATGGGAAGTCACATGTAGTTAACTGACAGCACCTGGTGCACCAAAGAACCTGTGCTTGCTGCTCTTGTCTTAGGCCAAACAGGACCTGGGCTCCTGCAACAGGGACTGGTCATGCTGAGCTGTCTGCAGCAGGCAGAGAGGGAGGCCTTGCTGGGTATGCAAGGAAGGAGGACCTGAGGGTCCTGTCAGACACGGTCCTCTGCACTGACAGGGAATGTTTGCCACTCTTCCGAGCCGCCGTCACAGGGGACAAACTGGTGATGTAAGGCAAGCAGAGACACAAGAAAAAGGAATCAGCTGCCTACAGCTCAAGGTAAATTACCTTTTTTTCCCTTATAAATTATAATTTTTGCAAATAATGTCAGTGCAACTGGATTCTCCCTTTGATCGCTTCTGGCTGGAGGCTGGGATTTTATTATTTCTTTTGCACTTGGCCCAGTCCACATTTTTTCCTGCTTGCTTTGAGGAGGGAGCCAGGGAGGAGCAGGGAAGGTAGGTACCTGGTGAGAGGGAGGGTGACTGTCGGGTTCCTGTGAACTCAAACAGGGGCTACCGGTGCAGAAAGAAAAGTTATTTATAATAAAAAGCAGTGGGGGCTAGGGATTTAGCTCAGTGGTTTTGCTGCCTGCCTCACAAGCACAAGGTCCCGAGTTCAATCCCCAGTACCAAAAAAAAAAAAAGCAATGGCTTTTCTTTATAAAAGAAACATAATGTGTAACATAAATCAAAGCTGTAAATGAAAAAATAATTTCAAGTATATAAAGTATAAGAGAAAGTTGCAGTAAATAAGAATGAACATTTTTGATTTATTCAAAGTTTCAATCTAAAACCTTAATGAAATCTACCACCTTTATTACAAGGGGACTGATGGTTCCTGAATGGAAAGAAACAAAGGTCAAGGAGGATGGCACCGGACACTGGAGAGAGACCCAAACTGGCCGAGGGTTCGGGAGGTCTGGTCCAATGGACTGCTGACAGGCAGGAAGCCATATGTTGTTGAGAAATGATGTGAGAACTGTGTAAAGGGTATAAACCTCCATATGAAAACTAAAGACGGCAAGTGAGACTCAGACTGTTTACTTCAAGTCAATAATGTCTTCATCTGACGAAGCTATGAGTTGAAAGAGGCTGCTGCCTGAGCCTGAGACCGGGCTGCCCTCTCTGTCCACTGCAGGGTCCTGGTCGGAGCTCACTGAATGGCAGCAGCCCTCAGGGTTGGCCTCAGCTGCAGAAGGACTTTCCAAGGAGCCCGATGGGATCCTAGGAGGGAAAAGTCACAGTCAGGGCTCCATGGGAACACGGAATTGGCCCTTCTGAGTGCTGCTGCTCACTGGCTCAAAGTTGTCTCCTGGCTGCTACCTGCAGTGTGGACAGCAGGCGCAGGGCTCCCCACGCCTCCTTCTTTGGCTGCAGTCAGACAGCCCTAGCTCATGGGCTTCTGGGAGGAGTTAAGGCCTGGTGAGACATTATTTATTCACCCTCCTGAAGCATAAATCTACCTGAATCCTCCCAGGGCCTGAAGGGAAGGCTAATGCTCCTGGCACAGCCGAGGCTCAGCCCTGGCCCTGGCTGCCTCTCCAGCCTCCCAGGCCACTCGGTTCCCTCTACTTCCTCTAGCTCCTCAGGACTCCCCCCCATCCCCCCCCCGACTCTCTTTTGATAGCTGCTTAATTAACTGAACCAAAATTGGTCTCACTTCTCAGGGTGTTCGTGATTGGACAAAGCCCACTTGGCCCTGCTCTGGCCACCTGACCTCACACTGTTCCCTACACCATTCTCTGTGCTCAGCTGTCCACTCGTCCTGTCACTTCTCTGGCCACACCGTGCAAGCCCCAGGGGGTCACAGGAGCTGTTTCCCTAGCTCATCATTTGCTCCAAGGCCAGTACCAAGTCACTTCCTTCCAAAGCCTTCCTTGACCCCTGGCATAGCAGACCTTCTACCTGCCACCTGATCACTTCTGAAATTTCTTCCTAGCAATGATTTGCCCATCTGTTACAAGTTTACTGTCTGCTTCTCCACACTAGAATATAAAGCCCCAAGGGCAGGGGCCGGGTCACTCAGTGCTGGAGTAAAGCAAGAATGAGTCCCAGCCGGCTCAGCCAGGCTCACTGTCGTTGAGAGTGCCTTACCTAGCCCAGTGTCCCCAGTCTGCCCTGCCTAGGTGTGGGGTACACAGCACGGTCCACTCAGCATCATCATCTGGGGTGAGGAACCGCCTGGGCTCCTGTGGGCCTTGTTCACTGGCCTAAGTGCCCCTGAAGGCATCTCCGGATCCCAATACTCAGCTCAGTGCTGGACCCTTCATGAATGTGTGATGAGGCAATGGAGCCTGGACATGTACTTGGGACCTGATGCTGGTGGGGGACAGCAGAGACCTTCTGAGCAAATCAGTGATTTATGTGCCACTGACCTCCATGCAGAAGGCTCGCCCTGCTTGTGGGCCCACCAGGCTGGACAGTGTCCAGTTCCCTGCACTTCTACTAAGCAGTCTCGTTTTCACAAATCCCCACCAATCTGGTGAGCCAAAAAGGACACTCAACATTTTCATTGTATTTAAGTTTGTGGTGCTGTAGATGGAACCCAGGGCCCGGCACATGCTAGGCAAGTGCTCTACCCCGAGCTCTACCCCTGGCCTTTTTCAGTGAGTGCTTGTTTGGCTGTGGCCTGGCAGCTGTGCCTTCCAGGGATCTCAGAGAGCAGCTGGATGCTTAGCCTGCACTGTGGCTGGCCAGGGGCCTCCCAGGCGGTGCTGTGACCCACAGGCCACATCCTACATGGGGGCTGCTCCCCCTCTTTACCTGTCACTGCTGGTTGATCTCACTGTCCCTGGCTTGGAGCCTGCTTGGCCTTCTAACCGAGTCCGGGCTTTTGATTTGACCTTTGCTGCTCCTTCTGACCTGGGTCCGCCTTCATCCGAGAGGCCTGGATTGCAGGGGACAATCATAGGTTAGAGCATCGTTACCCTGGGGCTGCCATGGAGACAGAAAAGCCCTTTTTGTTCTTGGTTGAGTAGCTGCTGTATTATTGGGCTAGAACTGAGAAGAAAGCTGATAGAATATATATTTTCATGAGGCAGGAGGACCATGAGTTAGAGTTGAGGCTAGGTAAAAAATTCAAATAATTGGTTTCCTTGTTAGTGGAAGAGCTTCCCCCTTTCTGATTGTAAAGTACATATGCACTGCAAAAAAAAAAAAAAAAAAACAACACAGAGGCTCAGAAGGGTCTGCTGAAGGAGAGCAAGTTCCTACCATCCCACAGCTGGTGACTGTCATTCTCTAACCCAGAGACTTGGTTTCTGAAAAGCGCAGTGGTTTGTAAGAGAGTGATCAGCAGTGGGGATTTCATAGGGAAGAATAGTTAAAAATAGCAACATACAGATGTTATCATCACAGAGAAGGCACAGACTTTGAGAACCAACCGAGTTTGCAATGTCAGAGCCTCCCCTGCCAGGCGTCCTGAATGCCCTCCATCTTCAGTAAGCGCAGTTAAGCACTACAGTGGGGCAGGATGTGCTGAAGCTGACTGTTCTTGTAGTTTCATGCTGTGCAGATCCCAGTTCAAGCTTTCAAACCGCATCTTGCTGGTTTAACATGCTCCTGCTGGCTTGAACCACTGGTGGTGGTACATGCATGACTGTCCCCTGCTGCCTGATGAGGGAGTCATGCAGGTACCACTGGTGGCTCAAACTGATAGGAACATAACACGTTCAAATTGGAGCCACCCAGCAGTGAGACATAAGAATTATGGCCCCATCGTGAATGTGTTAACACTCCACTTCCATTTTTCCTTATTTTGCTTTTTTTTGTTGGTTTTTTTTGAGACGGAGTCTCACTATGTAGCCCAGGCTGGCCTCAAACTCATGGCGATCCTTCTGCTTCAGCCTCTTGGGTGCTGGGAATACCTGTATGTTCCTGTTATGGCTTGTGTCTAGATGTTCCCCCAAAGCCTCATGCAGTCATAGGTGAGGCTTTTTCAGAGGTGGCTGGATTTAAAGTGTGTGGTGCTGGATTAAGGGTGTGTGATTACTCAATCAGTCCACTGATTTGGCACTGCCCTAATCCCGGTAGCCTACAGAGAATATAAAAAAGGCAGAAAGAAGCTGCTACGGTCCCTTGCTTGGTCTCACCTGCCTGTTTGCCATGGACTGTTTTTCTCCTCTGTGATGCCCCTCTGCCATGCCACCCTGCCTTGGAGCCAGCCAGCTATGAACTGAAACCCCTACGAACTGGGAGCCAAATAAACTTTTCTTCCTTTAACTCTGGGTGCCGGGTATTTTGAGAAAGTAACTAAGACAGCACCACCACACCCAGCCATTTTTTCTTATTTTGTTTTTGCAAATCTGAACATAAGGCCATGTAGTGGTCCAGCCCTCTGACCATGATCATGGAGCATCATACTTCTCTGGTCAGCCACCTGTCTGCAGACTGAGGGAGGAGGTCACAATAAATATCTTGCATCTTCACTGGCCCCACACACTTGCCCCATGCCAAGGTGCTGCAAGAAGTGCTAAGTGAATTCCCACTTTTGGATGTACCAATATAAAATGCTGAGAGCTACAGGCTGTAAACTCCTTGGAGGTACTTTTCTAGGATATCAGGCATACTTTAATTTTTAAAAGTCATATCACAGTAGACATAGTCTTTTATAAACAGTCTGTTTTCCCCTTTTACATGGATTGGGCAGCTTCTGCACTGATAAATACAGATCAGCATCACTGTGGGTGAGATAGTGATATGATATTCCTGGTGTAGATGTATTATAGTTTATTGATATAAGTCATTTCTTAAAGAGAAAGTTTCTTTTTAAACTTGTTTGTTGTTGCTTTTTTGAGACAGGATCTTACTATGTAACTAGGTTGGCCTTGAACTTGAGATGGTCCTGCCTCAGCCTGCTGAGTATACTATCATGCCCAGTTTAATTCATGTTTTTTGAGGGTGATTAATATTCCAAGGCAGAGCCAGCTGGTCTATTTACAAACAGTGAAAACACAAACATTGAAAGCCATTACCTAGCAGTTCCCTGCGGGTCCTGCTTGCTATTTCTTTAATCTCCATGCGAGACAGGGATAAGGAATGAGTGACAGGAATGGCAGCGATGCCCAGGCCGATGGAAGTGGGCGGGGTGATGACCTTGGAGACTAAGGGTGATTTCAGAGGTCGCTCGATGCTTCTGCCGACAAGGTTTCTAAGTGGAATCTTGTACAGATTTTTGGACTGAATTTCACCTGAAATATGATTCAGAAATGAACATGAGAACTTTTGGTTCACGTTATTTACAACAAAACAATTTTTTGTTTCTCAACATAGTGTGAAAGCGATGGAGCCTGATGGCTTTGTGTTTGTTAAGGGCTTCATTTTCACGTGTAAATCAGACGCATTCACTACTGGTCATGCTTGGACAGGAACACTGGCCAGACAAGAAAAGCAAAAAACTGCCCGTGGGGGAGCCTTGAGCTTTATCTTAACAGTGAGCAGTAAAGATGGCTGATGTGGCAGTAAGTTATGAAAGCGCTGTGTTCACAGCCATGCAGGAACCGCGGCAGAGGCCTGGGGCTTACAGGTAAAGCCAGGCCAGTGAGAGCCCTGTGAGCTGAGTGATACTGAGGCTTCGTGACTCTGCTTCTTGCTGTGAAAGCCACTGCTGTTATCATCCCGAAAGAGAAACAGCTGCTGCTGCAAGCTGGAAGATCTCTAGCCCTTAATTCCCCTCTCCTTATGGAAACACTTTTTTTCGTAATGGGATTTTTAAAAATCACAAGTTTCTTCAGGATGCAGCCAGTGCATTCCGATTGCAAGCTTTTCTTCTTTTTGCCATGCTGAGGCTGGAACTCACACTAGGCAAGTGCTCTACCACTGAGCCTTGTGCCCAGCCCTGCAAGTTCTTTTTTTTTTTTTAATGGCTCTAAATAGTAAGTTCTTTAGGCAGTAGTTGCAGGTAGGTATTTGACAAGGGCCAAGAGAAGTCAGCATGGATTAAATGTCTGTCCACAAGACCTCACCTTCCCCCAGGGAAGAAGGGAACACAGGTGTCTCCCGGCCCGGGGGTGTCTGTGGAGAGCT